CGCGGGTGTCGCCCCTGGCTGTGCGCCTTCGTGCGTGGCGGTGCCCCGCCGACCCCGCGGACACCGCGCCTTCTTGCGCGGACAGCACCTGCCGGGGCTCAGAGGCGCCCGGCCGCCTGCTTGGGGCCCCCTTGACGAAGTGTGTGCCTGCGAATTCGAGGGACTCGCGTGTGTGATTTTCCTGGGAGGTGTAGAGGCCCGGTAGCCAGCAGATTTGACAGGTGGAAAAGGCGGCTTTCATTTTACCCTGTTGCTAGGCGCCCTGGCTTCCTGCTCGTCCCCCCAGCGATGGCACCTGGGTCTCCTCCTGGCCTGGAGGGGGGCTTGCTCTCCCCCACAGCGGCACACCGTGCTGTCTGCTGGCATGAACTTCCTCAAACGTGGATGCTTGTGTCTCGTGTCCACAAAGGCAGGTTGCCGCTTGCTTTGTATTCGCGTTCGGCAGTTTGCACGGCAGAAGTGAGGTTGCGTGTTGGTGTGCTGACGTCCGTTTTAATCGTCTCATTCATTTTATGTGGGCAGGTTTTGTGAACCTGCGGATCTCTGCCAACGGGCTTAGGCTGACATACACTCCCTTCAGTGCAAGGTATCATGGGCTGTGCAAGGTGATTTTGCATCCTTTTCAGGATTTTTACAATGTGAGTTTATAGAGAAGAACAGTGTAAAATTTTATGATTTCACTATTTGTCAGCATCTGTTATGCACCTCAGTTCAGTGCTGAATGAACGGATATGAAACTTTGATCCAGATACATGGCTCTGTTCTCATGAATTTATAGGATAGGAAACGAAATTTTTTCTTGACACAGCCATGGTCTTTATTACTTGGGCTAGTCTCTCAGGCTTCTTTGGGTTTCATTTTTTCATCTGAAAACTTGTTGGTTGCTTTGGTTCATCCCAGTTTTAAAATTCCAGCATCTACTTAAACTCAACGTCTTTATAATCTTCTCTGTCCTGGAAGATGGGCAACATTAAAGATAAACACAGTTGTTGCTCTCAACCTAGTGGCCAGGCAGAGGAGACATACTGTGGAACTTTGTGTGGTGCGATCAGGACTGCTTTACTAGCACTGACAACTGTTGTGAGGTCGTGGAGGCAGAAGTAGTTCTGCCTGGGGACCTTGGGAAAGACGACAGGAAGTACCGTGCAAACAGACTTCTGAAGAGGATGAGCAGAAATTTTCCAGGTTTAGATGGATCTCCAGGTGTAGATGACTGTGGGAGAAGAGAAGGTTCATGTGGGTTTCTAGGGAAATGTATTGGTAAGTGAAATTGGTATAAAAGTTCTGTTCTGAGGTTCTTACTCCTTCATCATCCTTAATTCTCGCTACTGCAACAGTTGGAAATAGCACTTGCATTAGCACGAAATTCTTTATCTTTGTAAGACGGGTTAGTTTTGTTTTACAGTGGACTTGGTTGTATCAGATTACAGGTATAGCAGGAGTGGGGAGACTGACAGCAAGTAAGTTGCAAGGATGGGTGGAGCTAATTGTGTGTACCTACCCAGGATAAAATGATTATGGCAACACTTGTGAAGTGCTTATTACTGATTGTTGGGCATGTGTTGACTTTCTGTCATTCACGTATTCCTCACTATAGTGATAAATACTACTATTCCTGTTTGATAGATGAAGAAGTGGAAGTACATTGTTGGAGAGTGATTTTATAAGTGATCAGTTTGTGGTGACCTTTGATTTTCTCTGCACTTTACAATCTTTGCCTTTGGAGCGGTTTTACCTTGGCTCAAGTTAAAAGGGTCCAGATACTAATTTGATCTTGATTCTGAAGTGTTTCCATTTTTCTCTGGCCCATGTAACTGATAAGTATAGTCTTTTGTAAATGGATGTGTGAAAAGACATTGGTTACCTGATTGTGTTTAATGACATCCTGTTGGAACATGCTACTCTGCAACACTTAACAGAAAGAGTCTCGACACTCCCTTCTAATAGCCATTTGTACTGTAGTGCAATGTGGTATAGTAACTACACCGTTTTCTAGTAAAAAATATGTATGTAAAAATACATTTTTTCATTATAGCTTTATTTCTTCATCTTTAACCGTTGTTGCTATATACAAAATGGAAGTTGACACAAAAGGGAAAAATTGTGCTGAAATTTTACTTGTTAATAGATCACTTAATCTGGTCAATTCTGCACAATAATTTTGGACTTGTTTATGCTTCGTAGCCATAATTTTATGTGCTATATAGAAGTAATTATTTTATGCATTAGCTGAAAGGTGGAACTAATCCAGGTGTCCATCAGCAGATGAATTGAAAAACAAATGTGTGTGTGTGTATGATGATGGAACATTTAGCCTTAAAAAGGGAGGTAATTCTGCACATGCTATTAGTATGTATGAATCTTGAAGACATTACTAAGTGAAATCATCTAGACAAAGTGCAAATGCTGTATGATTCAGCTTACTGTATCTAGAGAAGTCTTTCATAGAGAAAGTAAAATGCTGTTTTTCTGTGGTGGAAGGAGGGCAATGGGGAGTTACTGTTTAATGGATACAGACTTTACCTTTATAAATATTTTACTAAAGTAACAAGTGACTAAAAATCTTCCAGGTTGACTGAGTACTCAGTTTTTACAAATAATTATAGTTCAGAAGTGTTTTATGTTAATTTCAAATTTAAATGTTATTTTGACTATATCAGATAATAGAATAGAGGAGGTTTCATGTTTATATGATGTAAGTCCTTGCCTTTCCAGGTAATTGTGTAAGAGATATTCTACCTGTAGCTTTTTTTTTTTTTTTAAGTTATGGTGAAATTCACATAACAGAAAATTAACCATTTTTTAAAAAAAGATTTATTTATTTGTGCATACAGAAGTGGGGTACAGGCCAGAGGTGCAGGCCAGAGGTGCAGGGGCGGTGAGAGGATTCACCAGAGATGGAGTGGGAAGCAGAACAGGCCAACTGAGAAGTACACTGCTGAGGGGAGCAGCGGGCGGGTCAGCAGAGGTCTGCTGTGCCATGTGGGTCACCTCCAGTGCAGGAATTGAACTCATGCCGAAGTGGCTTTCACTTCTTAGTGCTGTGCTTTAACCCAGTGCACCACCAGGGCATGAAAATTAACCATTTTAAAGTGAACAATTCTCATATTTAGTACATTCACAATGTTACATAATCCTCACTCTGCCCAGTTCCAAAATATTGTTATCATTCCAAAAGAAACCATATACTCATCAATGGTAGTCTCTCCACTCTTCTTGCTAACGACCTGTATGCTCTTTGTTTCTGGTAATCTGAATTACTTAACTTATTCTAGATAGTTCATGTAAATGAAATCATATGGCATTTTGTGCATGGCTTCTTTCATGTTTTCTAGGTTCATTCATGTAGCAAGTATTAATATCTAAATTATTTTATTTCTACTTAAACAATGACTTTATTGTTTGAGTACATAGACAAATTTTTGCAGACTGGGAGAGCCTGTGAATGATTGTTATTTCCAAACTGGGGTTGAGGTGTGTATGGAAAAGGACCCTTTTGTTGTTACAGTAGTGAACCAAGCAGTGAATACAGTTCTTGATCAAAATCAGGTAGAACTTAGCATCCTTCATCAAGATGATTTCAGTCACATGGTAGAGATCCTTAGGAAAATCAAGAGCAAGTCCTTTGAACATAGGAATTCCCTTAGGATTTTATTGTCACAAAACATAATTGTGCCCCATCATGTATATCTCTTAGGATCATACTGATTTGTGAGGTATTCAGCCCCGTTTCAGCCAATTTGTAGATCTGCTCCATCACGTAGTCACATGTCTCCTTCAGCCAGGTGAGGATTCTGCTGTGATAGGACAGAGGTGATTCAACAGGCCCTTCCCTGGAGGGTATTCATGTGATCCACGATGAATGGGCAGCAGGAAAAGAGCTTTCTTATGATGGAATATTCCATTATGTGTATATGTGTGTTTGTGTCATAATTTGTCCATTTTATCTCTTGATTCTTTAGTCATTTCTTAGTAAATGCATAATCGAAATATTCTAAAATCAACTCATTTGATCACACTGTGAGCATCATTATATGTCAAGCGATAGGTTGAGTCCCAAAGATGTAAAAATGACTTACTTATAATGTGATGCATGAGTAGTAAGGGTGTGAACATTGTTTATACATCATAAAGGACAGAGGGTTAATTATTTTTGACAGGTAGCACTAATTCATTTTGCAAGTAAATTTTTGCTGATGGTAGAGAAAAGATTATGTACAT